TGAATATTAAATTGTCAGTCATTTGTACAAACAGACCAAGGTTTGACCAGTCTCCTCGATAGTCCCTGTAAGTGTCACGTGCTCAAACAATATATCCCTATAGAAGGTTCCTCCACTCGCGACTTCGTCCGTGGACATCGTACTTCATGCCTAGTGCGCGAGCACGCTTCCATTATAACTTTAATCCATAGTCCATTCCCTAACGAAGCCCATAAAAATAATCTCCCCCGTATACGCCACGACATGCATAAGCATTCCCTTTAGACTTTAGACCTACACGATAACACGGTGACGTATTTTCAGATCGCGATAGTAATTCATTCGCAAGGTCGGTCGGGCCTTAGAGACGGCAGGAAATCTCTATTGTGATATGGGGGTGGGAAAAAATATATATAAAAATTCAGGCCACAGCCTGGTTGAGCTAAAGAACAGCCATGCTGACGTAATAAACAACTGTCGACCGCGATCGTAAGGAAAGGTCATGCACGAGTAAGCGATTTCGATTGTACGCTTTGGACTATGCTTGGTGTATTAATTAGCCGAAGTTAACCGGTTCGAGCGTGTGCACGCAACGCACAGGGGCTCGATTTACGGACACCCGTTACTTATAATATACGAACCGTTCGTCCATCGTTGGGACAGAAATACGCGTCGTTAAGTAGCATCAAGCAAGCAGTCCGCGGAGTTTAATTAAACGGCAAGCGTTGACGATCGTGTCGCGGAGAATTCCTCCCCTCCCCCTGCGTTTCGTCGCAAATTACGCCAGGCTGGCTTACGTCGGCCATTAAACACGATTATGACCGAGTCGTCGTTAGATTGCGTGGCAATCGTCCACGCTTTCGCTCTGACTCTCACGGCAAGTATCTCCTCTTTAAACACACCACCGAGAACACTTTCGTCGCGGTAACAACAAGCAAGTATGCAACGATCGCAACGGATCGTTGATACGGTCAACGGAGTGTCATAAACGGAGATTCCTGGACAGCTGCACGTCACAGGTGCAAAATATTCACTGTCCTCTAAGAACAAATTATTTATTGCGTCTCGACGAACTGACTTCCAGGGATGCCAGAGAACAATATACAACGTCTCTAGTTCTTTTTGTGAGTAGACCACATCAACCTTCGCTGAAATGAAAAATCGTGATCACTAAGGCGTCAAAACATATCACAATCCACTCGCAGCCGCGAAACGGGGTAATCCTATTACCGTCTAGCGATCGAGAGCGATATTTTATGTAGATTTCGCGAATACGGTCGACGGGATCGCGCATGAAAATATTTTTCCATCCATGTTCCGATCCCACCAGATAAAAGATAAACCATTCCATTAAAGTCGCTAATTTCGCGTCGCCGATTAACACCGATTCCCCGTGTTGATCGGTTTATCCTGGATCGAATCCGTTCCTCCGTACTCCAGAATCGAGTCGAAATGTCACCGACTAATATACAAATGAATCACGTTTATCCATCGTAACGGCGTCTCCAGGGATCACTGCACCGACGATCTAGGGTCGGAAGAACCTCCAGAGACGCCATGATCCACGCTGTGAACTGTCAGAAACGGAGAAAGGGATCTCGATGACTGCTAGAACTCTCTACGGATCTGTTTCGTACCCATGTCAACGAGTCCCATTAGCGTTGATCCTTGTTTGTCTCTGTCAATAGCAAGAGGGGATCCTATGTAGTGGACGAAATCGCCGAGACATCGTCGAAGCTACTCCCACCGACCAGTAAATCAAGGAACGACGCCGCCCCAACCTGTCTCTCGATACACGGATTTCCTTTTCGCGTGGACCTATATGGTCGTGTTACTATTATTTCACTGTTTATCACGCAGCTGTCAGAATTGATTTATATACACCGGTATCACGCCGAACGATCTTGTTTTTATCAATATACATACGCGGTGTCCCATTTATATCAATCCACTCGAACATCTCCGAAATTATTGACGATGTTAAAAAATGTCTCAGACACAAGTCCAATGGTATCTGAGGGTACACTTTTGTCTATGTGAACGCATAGAGGTCATATGAAGGTCAACTTTGCTTTTTAAATGGAACCCTACATTTTTTAATGCATTACTCGTTATTCCCTACATAAAATACTAAGTGACTAATGGCGAATTAGTGCATTGAAAAATGTACAATTTCGTTTAAAAAAACAAAATTGACCTTCATTTAACCTCTATGCGTCCACATAGAAATAAGTGTACCCCCAGATACCACTTCACTTTTGTCCGAACACATTTTTTAATATCGTCAACAGTTTCCGAGATATCCGAGCGGATCGACATAAATATGACACCCTGTATAATGGAGAAGGAAGTGCAGCGTGACGCGTTTCGCTCGAATATTTGACCCTTTTCGCTCGATGTTTCTGTTACCACCGGTCTCCACGCGTTCTGTTTTTTTTTTCTATCTCTCTCGAACGGTGAATATCGAATCGATAAATTCAGTTGGAATCAGGATGTCAGTCTGTTAGAAATATTAATCCGAAACCTTTGATTTTTACAAAAGCTGCACTCCTTCGAGGTTCTGAGGTAAGTGCTGATCGTTCAATCACAGTCCTCTTGTCAAAGGACTGCCTTCCCCACTACGTAGTCAGATCTTTCAGGAACAATGTCCTTATTCTAAAGACAGCACAGCGTCGGGTTGTTTGCCATCTCTAAACTTTCACTCATCTGTTCTCACATAAACAACCCCTCTACGTCACCGATAACCGAAAGACCCAACGTGGTCTCCCGCCACCGCGCAACGTCAAGACTGTTCAATCTCACGCAACCCTTCATCAAGACAACTCGCATTCTAGCAACCCTATCATAAATTCTCCAACAGTCAATGAACGCACAGGCCATCCACCTCCGACTCCACTTAAATCAGGTTCACGCTAACAAGTGTTTTTGCCACGGTTCGAGGTCGATAAATCAGCGATTCGTGCACCGAAAAGTTTCGAGTTTCCACGGTCTGGATCAACCTTCCGTTTCCGTAATTATCGAACTGAAATTCGGCGTTCCGTGGAGGTCGACGCGTTGTTTGAAGGCGATTATTCGCTTCTGGTCGTGTGGTTCGTGGAGCAGAGGTGAAAGTTGATTTAATTACGGGATAGTCAAGTGGGCGGATGTCGACCAGGTCGATCTAACCGCAACGATCGAGGAAATCGTCCTAGCGGAAGGTAAGTACGGAAAAAAGCATTCGAGCGATCGTGAGCGTGAAGAACACGCCAGATTCTCCGTGTGCAAGGAAAATTCTACCAGCATGGATAGATTCGATGGGAGGGGCATAAGGCACTCGCCCCTTAACAGGGAAAATAGGGGTGAGTGGACTGAATGGAATGCAGGATTAAAGGGATCGTTCCGTGTTTTACTGCGCTATGGTTCGTAATTCCCCTCCATCCCCGCGATTGCCAATCGTAATTACGCCGTTGCGGTCGCACGCGCGTCTATCAATATAACACGCGAGCCCGTGGGTGATTTAACGTTAAAGTTATTATCGTTTGATCGCTCGACCGCTAGCGGGGGCGTTTCGATTGCGGCGCCGTCGAATGAATTATGTTTCATCATTAGCGAGGTTCCTGGACCAGTTCGATTGCTCGTCGAACGAACAAGTATTGGATCGTTCGGGCGTTTTCGAGCTCAGTGTCGTTGTTCTGCTTTTATTTGATGAAGGAAAAATTTCGTAATTCGGAATACGTAACCATATGGCAACAGCGGGGACGAAAGTGTTTACTACGGTAGAAGGATTCACAGGAAGAGATGTACCGTTAATTCCCGCATTTTTACCATCGTCGAGCAATCGTACGACAAAAAGATACGGAAAAGACAATGAAAAGTGCCTGGATGGTATCGGAGAAACCTGTGATCGGAGGGAAGGGGAAACGGAACCGCGGGACGAGTCTTTTCGATTCGAAATACCACGGACCAACGGGAAATTATTGTGAAAATCTATCGACTGACGGGGAAAGCAGCGAGGCGACGCAAACTGCCGCTAATCACCGCCGAAATCTCGATTTAATGGGAGAAGGAGGACGATGGAGGGGGGAGTGGAGGCCGCGAGCTGCAGGCGCGCAACGCCTAGCCAAACAAAAACGTCCGTCGTCTGGTTCGGCCGCATGCATCGCGACGATAAATGCCGTCGCGCTCCGGCGCATACGCTTCCCGGTTACGTTTTATGCAAAACAGCCGAGCCGCGACGCCGCCACGGATTTATCGATGAATTCGCGCGTGCATCGGGGGACCTAGGCTACACAACCATGGCCAAGCCGCGGATACAACTGCGCCGAAGGAGGCTTAAATGTATTGTTTCTGGCCTCCGAATAAAGCGGATCTCCGCTCGGAATTCTGAAAGAGCCTCCGCACTAAATCACACGATATTCCACATCAATTTGTCGAAAGACGAAGTCCCCTATAAAAAAAAATTCATTCTATATTCCCTATCTACTACCAACAGAAGAATCACCACCCTCTCAATTCCCAATACAGCCTCCATCCTCCGAAAGGATCATGTTCAGACCCACTTCACCCAATCCTACTCCTGAATTTATTTTCAAAATCCCGTCGTTTTCAGGGAATCGTTCCACATTCAACAAAGTCCATCGAACGGTCTACCGTGGCCGATATCAAAATGAAAAAAAAAGAAAATCAAATTCCATCGTCTCCCTGAGCCAAAAACTGACACCAGAGGAGGAGGGGTGGGTGGATTAAGCGGATCCCTCCCCCGTCGGAATCACCGAAGCGCCAAAACCCACCCTGACGGTTCCAAACCCCCCAACAGGTCTTAAAAAGTCAATTTCGCGGGACAAGCGGGTGAATCGAGCCGACAGGTTCATTGTGGAACGATCGCCGCGGATCCACCCCATCCCCTCCCCCTCCCTCCTGTCTGGCCTGATCTCGAGCCGTTTTTTACGAGCAACGGGTGGACAGAGAGAGGCTGTGCAGAAAGGAAGCGGACCTAAGCGAGCGCCACCCCATCATATTGATCCCGTAGCCGGCTGCTCAACATGGCGCCGGGGGTGGCGTTCACGATCGGGCTGATCCTCGTCGTCGGGCACCTACAGCTTGGACCGGGCACCCACGCCAAGACGTTCGCGTTCCCCGAGTACCCGTACAAGGAGATCACCAAGAATGTAAGTCAGCCAATCAATTAGACTAAAAAGCACGAACAACCGCGAACCCGCGTTCGCCGCTTGGTTATAGGTTATGGCAACCCTCGTTTAGTTTTTCCAGTAACGTATTTTTTCATTTCGCATTCGAGTGGTGCAGGGGATAGGGTATGTCGATCGTGTTCCACGATTCTACGGCGGGATTTTTCTAGTATGCTTCTTTTTTTCCTGTGACTGTAATTATCCGTTCCACTTCTATGTAAGGTGGACCTTGGAAGATGCATCTTGTAGGGTGAATTCCTGTTTCATTCTTTTTTTAATTACACATTTTAAAATACGTTCCTGATGTTCTCGATGTGAAATTTTATGCAGGGAATTTTTTAGATTGTGCGATGTTAGTATTTTCGCGAGGGGTGGTTTTATCACGGCGATGATTACTTTCCGGCTTCCTTGTGATTGTTGATTCCATGGATTTCGAGATCGAGCAGCAAGCTTTGAATTTTCGATGGGATCTCTATGATACCCACGGATAGACGGGGGTCGCGCTGAGAGGATTTTCTCACGCGACTCGAGCTTAACATCCCCCATGGGGCACGATAACACAGGACGGGGGGTGGGTTCCACGGTACTACCGACAACGGGGATGTGGAAATCGATTTGGCATTAACTCGAAGACAGTCGAACTGCTGGAGGGTGTGCTTCGACGGTATCGGTAGCCTGATACTGTTATCGTCGCGAATACTGACATGTCGAGCCAAGGATCTCTCGAGATCGCGTGGAATCGATTCGGCTAACTTTCTCGAGGAGTGTGCTTGATGGAATTTGTAGCGTGCAAACATTCGTTTCTTCCTCACTTGTTGCGCTAATGCAAGGCAGGTGAAGGTTGAACGATGGGAAATGAATGATACCCGGCTAGACACGATTTTGGAAATATCAGATTCCATTTATAATAAATGCAACTTTTGTCGTAACTTTTGAAATATAATAATTTGCAGGTTTTCTGACTTCTTTAAACATTGATAATATATTACTTTCATAGATTCCCATGAAGTTAACGCACTTTAATTACACACTTTTGAAAATAAAGACTTATAACTTGACTAATTATTTTTAAATCATATAATACTCAAGTTACACGTGGAATTATTTTTCTTATTCTACGCAGGGTATATATTAGTAAGAACGTTACGATTACGATATTGTTCAATGTACCGAGAATGCTAGTATTTCCTGCAATTCCATCCACTACTTCCATACTAGCATACACAGAGCAAAGAGAGAGAGACCATCTTCGAAGAAAACGGAATGAGCCCGCGGTACCAATAATAGAACTGATACAATCACTAATTGGGGTTAATCTCGAAAGAGGCTCGAACCAATTGTTGCTCTCAATTTCATCCGGTCTGCTGCGTCTAACAAAGTATAATAATAAATATCCTCGGAGAGACAATAACCGAAAATACACTTTATGCTTCGACAATTTATACGAATGCTTACGATTCTATGAAAAAAAATTAAAATAACAACGTTCGTTGAAATCGCAATCGATTCTAAATCTAAATTTTCAATTTTTTCAAAAGTATTATCACGTTCTTTAGGAACTTCTCTTTAGGCAGTTCGAGCAGGCTTGCGAGGAAAGCGGAGCCTGCAAGATGCTCCCGCCAGAGAGGAGCGACATGGCCAAGACCAGATGCATTCGGGAGTGCGTATCGCCGTCCTGTTACAAAGAGATCTACCTATTCGATCAGGTAATCACGACTAATAGTATAAATCACATTGTATTTCTATGTTTCAATGTACCTATGTACGTGTTCAAAGTAGAAAAATTACTCTGTCATCGAATTAAAAAAAAATCCTTCGAATTCGCGAAATATTTCTGAATGACTAGTCGGACCGATAGACGAAGCGAACAATCGAACGCAACCCTTTTCGTTCTAGCTAGAAGAAGGGGAGATCGACGTGAGATTAAACTCGTTCAAGGGTTGCTTCATGCAGCGCAACAGCCGACCGCGGAAGTAAAGAAAGGAGAAGAAAAAACACAGACGAAGATGGAAAGTGACGAAGGTGAAATGGGCAAGGGAACGAGTCCAAGCCACCCGTCGCGCACGAATCTCAACGCCAATTGGCGCGCTATGCCGACCACGTCCATTAACAGTTTCCGATTACGATTTAGGGGACGCGATCCCGTTCCACCGGAGAGATTAGAACCGAGATCGATCGATCGAGGTATATTATACATATATAAATATAGCAAAACCAAACCAAAAACGCTGAATTTCAGGATCACAAGATAAAGAGAGCGCACCCGCGACACACGCGGACGAATTAAATTCGTCCTGGATAATCTTTTTCTACTTTTTGTACGCACGTATTTGCCATGTTGAAGTAATGTTACGAGCAATGTTGCACGGATTGAATAAACTGTTGAAAGAAAGATGGTCTGTCTGGCTGGACTATTACCCCGAGCTTCCTTGGGATCATTCCCCTTGGATCGATTCCTTGAATTGCGAGAGCTGGAAACGGGTGCTCTTGTGAACGGCCGGATAATCGTATAGATTCGTAAATTAAATAACGCTACTGCATCAAAAGAAGAAAGACGATCGATTATGTAGGTAGCTTAACACGTTTGCCACCACAGGTACCTCAAGAACATCGACGCAGAAGCATATCTGCGTACTTCTCTTAACCCTGCTGTTCTCTTTACTTATTCTTCACGTATGTATGCCTTCAAATAAAATCATTTGAAATTTCGAAATGATTTGTTCTTAAGGAATCAAAGATACACGAGAAGTAGACGTGACATTTAAATATTAAATTGGATACTAAAAACAAATATTTAAAAATATAATACCTATCTAATCTCCATTTCAGATCATATAGGCCCGAGGAGAACAGCAGGTTTAATAATAAAATATTTCATTATCAACCGTATATAATAATGATTCCTAGATTGTCAATTTCATGCATTTATCGTAACTGTACAGCAGACATGTTCGAGAAGCTGTTTATAAACAATTCCTATACTTTGGACCTAACGAAACCTTTACTAAACGAATCAAATCCCTAGCATGATATCAATTTCTAAAAACTGTTTAACTGCATGAAAATCCGCAGTCTAATAGTTACATAAGTTTATACTGTTCCGAAATATTAATATTCCATTGAAAATGGCACTCGAAGAAAGTACTCTACTGTATGTTACCACTCATCAACAAGATGGCGAACGTGTTAACAATCAAAATAGTCCTTCGACACATGAATCCAGTGTCTCCTATTGTAGATATTAATAAATAACGAATGCAGTTGCAAGTACTCACCGCGTAGCGAAGACTATTCACCGCAGCGTCTACCCTTGCATCCTTAACGGTGTTCACGTACATTCGGACGCGATCCAAGATCTCCTCGAACGGTGTCTTGCGGATGGATTTCGGGTTCCACGGTCCTTCGTCGTTGCAATACCTTCTCCTGTAGCGGAACCAAGTCGAGACGAAGTCCAGAAAGTGGTAAGACACGTACCGGGAGTCCAGGGTGGATATCACTAGATCATAATTACTCATCAGGGTGCACATGTGGTACATCAAGGGCTCAGCGTGCTTGTGGCAGAACCTTAGTACACCCTGGAGACACTGGTACACGATGTCCCTTTGGATTGGGTCACTCTGTAACGTGAAAAATCATTAAACGTAATAACATCGAAGCTCGTAACGTCGTAAAAAGTATAGTTTGCAATCACAGAGTCAAAACAGAGAAGGATACAGGAATTCGATATATCTGATGATTACACTGCAGATGTTTATGCAAATTCACATTTTCGGTCACTAATACGTGAAACAACAAAACGGACCGAATTTCATTTTTTGTATTAACGATTCGAATATGATAATAATAATACACAAATACTGTTGAATTATATTGGAATCTTAATTTTTCTAAGTTTTGCAAGTCAATGGACACTATAAATGCGTAAACGTCCGCAGTCTATTGACGATACACTGCCTCCAGAAGTAACAGAACGAGAATACTATATTTGTTAAGAAGATGACTACTAACTTTTGCATGAAGCATCCGAATAGTCTCGTAGAGATTGACCACTCCCCTCCCCCCATTGCTCGTGACTCCGTCAAGCCTGACAGGCGATCCGTCGTTACTTCGAGTGAAAAGTTCGAGCGCGAGTTGCATCCCGTTGATCGAGGCATGGACAGATTTTCTCATACTGAACAGCGAATCGGCTAAGCTCTGCACGTCGATCGTCAACGGTTTATCGCGCTGAAACGAAAAATGATCGCTCACGAGTCTCGAGGAGCGATTTGGAACGATTTGTTATTCGCGATACGGTGCGTTCCCCCTCGCACCTGGATCGACGATTTCTCGTGACAGTGTACCACAAACGCGAGAAGTTTCAGGCAGACTGCCGAGAATTCCGGTATCTCGACGGCGAATCCTTGGACGAGCAACTCTTCGAGAAAGTTCGGCGTTCCGATGTACGTCTCGAAAACTGTAAAATAAAGAAACGAAAAGACAGACAAGACGCGTGTCGCTTCTATTTCTGCTCCGGGCGGCTGTCGAATGAATTCGATGAAACATCTACTTGTAAATGGCTTGGACGTTGCGGACGTGACCAGCAAGGCGTACGAGTGCATCACCGCGAGCGTCCTCAGTCCCAGATCCGCGTCTCTTCTCAGCACGACGGCCGTGAGACGGTCCGCGCAGCGGTTTCTTGTGCCCAAGGACAGGGAATCGGGTATGAAAATGTTGGTCAGCTCCAGGACAGCCTTGATCTGTTCGTCTGGGGCAAGATGATAAATCGTTGTGTTCGATTGAAGTGTATACGAATGTCGTGCCGCTCGAAACTTTGGATCTCGGAGGAAATGAAAGCTGTTGATCGACTTTAAACGGGTAGTCGATCGTATAATTCAAAGAATGTCTCGAACCATTTCGAAAAGTCTACCTTTATCCGGTGCGTAAGAGGAAAGAAGATCGGGCAACATGTGCCAGGCGATTTCGGCGATTTCTCGCGCGTTGTCGCCGCGAATCATCTCCCGAATTCCCTTCATCGCCAACCTGATAATCCTCTGGGAGTAACCAGTCTGTATGACCAACTGTTCGCAAACAAATGATACCGTATTATGCTACTCGAACCTCTGGTTCAAGGTCGAATCAACTGGATCTGGGTACCAGTAAATAATGTTTAACAACTCTGTCGCAATCGAGAGTTAACAACGGCTTGATGTCCCCATCGGACTCGACCAGCCAAAGATCCATCGTCTTGTTCCTCAGTTCGGCGGGAACCTCGGGACACTTCAGACAGTAACGAAGGAGATCTATATGGTGAGTGTAACACTCGTTCGATCTCGAGTATCGCAACAGAGCCGCCAATCGTTTCACAGCCTTGTTGTAATCTCGTTCGGAGTTCGGCAACGGATGGTGTACAGATCCTACAGCGAATAGAAACCAAACGACCTTCAACGTTTGCGATGGTATCTGTTCGGACGTAGGAAGATCGATGATCCTGACGATCAGTGATCTCAAGCAGATCATATCGTTCCTAAAATATAAACGTCAGAATAAGATTGTCTCAGGGCAATGTTTCAATGATCCATTCTGTCGCGGCTACGCACTCCCTGGTCCCGTGAAAGTGGTAATAAATTAACATCATCAGGGCGAGAGAGCTGTTCCCTCGATGGGCCAGAACGTCGCTCCACCGTTGAGGATCTCTTGGCAAGTCGAGCAGTCCACGGTGCATTAAGCTCTCGAAGGCAGCCGAGCCGTCGAGCCACTGGCCAATGGACATTGATTTATCGGCGAGAGTAGTTATGACCCGTGACAGGAGCACACAAGTGCTACGACGAAGATTCTCTCTGGAATCACAGAAGACACTCCTAAGGCCCTTTGTACAGGCCGCTTCAGGATTGTCGGTCAAGACTTTTCCAACTTGCTTGGATCAGACCGTGCCGTTAAATTCTCGTAATGGAATTTTTGAAACAATTTTCTCGGAATTAAGGACACTATAGTAGAAATTTAACCGAAACTGCGTCCTAGTTTCGTACGAGAATTTATAAACTTGCATTTCGGATAGTCTCAAAAGGTACTTCGAGTTTCCAGAAAATTCGTGAGACATCTTCTTCAAGTAGTGCTTCACCATGGGACTTACGGTAGCCTGGTTGTTAGAAGTAAGAAACGCTTCAGACACCCGTTGCCGGTCAAGTGGTTCGACAAGTCGTCGTGGTTGCAGTCGGGCAGCTTGTATAGACTGTTCAGACAAATGACGAGACTCCTGTGGAATTTGACCCGGTCCGTTTCGTTTGACTCCGCGTTCTGTCGAACCGGGAACGAAACGATCTTTGATGCTTGTAACTAAATACGTCGGGCCGCGTCGAACGATCAGAACGATCGGTCCGTGTAACGCGACACCGATCTCGTGTGTTTCGGAACTTACTCTCAGGTGAGGTATCAACGTGTACATCGTCGTCCCGTGAATAGATTTCGTTAGCGTAGCTTTACGTTGGTGAGACTTATCGAACATCTCGGCACCGTCGCTCTTCGGGATACAGAGCCTAGTGGTTAGTGATATGCCAGAAAAATCGAGGTTAAATTAATTGTCTGAAGAGTCTGGACCGGATAATCCGCTCGAAACGGACCACTACCCCAAGGAACCCATTCTTTAAACAATCTGTACTTAGTTTTTACCGAACACCAGAAGCGGAAACATCGCACAAGGCAACCAGGGCGAGCGAAACCGAAGCCTCGTCGTCGCTGTACTTGACAATTTCTTTCATTAAGTCGAGAGCTTTGTGGCAAAGTTTGAAAGCGACGTCCTCCCGCTCCTCTTCGATGCCCATGTGTTCGAGAACGACACACAGCAGTGCGATCGACGAGAATTTTAACTTAGGATCCGGCGAGTTGTCCAAGATTAAGGATTTTAGGAGGCACAGAACTTGCCGGGGTACGCAAACCGCGTCGAAATCCACATTAAACTCTACAGCTCTGAAAAGCCATATAGTATCTCGAGGTATTCAAAAATAATACTAGCACTTTAAGGTACGAGATTGTTTGCATTTATTGTGCTTAAAAGATTATGCGATATTATATTTATTTTAAATAATTTAGTATCAGAATTTAGAAACTGTTAATTTTCTTGGATAATGTAGTTTTGGTTTTTGTCAGTTACCTGTTCAATACATCGCTAATGACGGAAACTAATTTCTCCAGCAGCTGATTCTCCTTGCATCGAGATTTCGAAACGCAAATCGCAACTTTTAACATCGAGTCCACGGCGTCCATAGCTACGTGGCATTCGTAAAACTTTCGATGCACGTTCACTAAGCTCAAAAAGTCAAGAATGTTCCTAGAAACGAACCGTGAATTTTGAATACAAAGTACGGACATGGATAGGAACTTGTGTAGCAATAGAACACGTACGGTAGAAGACGATCACTAGGTGTATGGAGGATCTCGAATATAGTGGAAAGCACATCGAACTTTATCAATTTCGAAAGAACCGCCTCGCTGCTAACAGCGCCACCATTTTTGAACAGATTGCATACTCGCTCGATGCACGTTACCTGGAATGTTTCCCCTTTTTCCCATTCTTGTTCAAAATACCCTTAACTTTTATTCTAATCTTTCTCCGTACCCTGAATTCCAGTTTCACATTTTGTAATGTGTATGAAGAAACGACAATTGAATGACCTTTCTTGTACAAAATACAACAGATGAATCTATTATACTACCTTCAAATACATATTAACCGTTACGATATTGCAGATTTGAGATACTTAAACGTCTACTAAATGCTATGCCTAGTGTATTATTCTTAGTTTAGAATGATTAGAAAGTGTATGTTCAATAATTCACTTACTCGATCTGTAAATTTCTGTCAACTGTTGTATTATAATGAATATATTTATTGAGTCTTATTTTCATTGGACTTATCTACGATTTAGAATGTATGACGCTGAGTTGGGCGTCATCTGGCAGTCATAGATTAACGACTATAATAAACTTACCTGAACGTCCTCGTCGTGCATCATCAGCCTTCTCTTTACGTTCATCAGCACAATATCAAGATTGTCGACATTTAATTGAAACAACGGCTCCATTTCCACAAAATGCCACGGTCTTTGCACAACTTCTCACGCACTCGTCTTACTAGACCACTCCGTGATTAACTACTGTTCAAAAAGTACTACGTGCGTCGTGCAACGACCGCGCGCATGCGCAGTAGTCGCTAGCGTCTATACGCACAGTAAAAGTAATTTATAACCTAAGTTTAAACTACTTATGATTACGTAAACAAACCCGTAATAAAATACACCTGGACGTCGCTAAAAAATACAATGTAAATAACGTACGCTAAAATATCCTCTATACGTTAATATAGACCACTCCGTGATTAACTACTGTTCAAAAAGTACAACGTGAGTCGCGCAACGATCGCGCGCATGAGCAGTAGTCGCTCGCATCTATACGCACGGTGAAAGTGATTTGTAACCTAAGTTTAAACTTTCTACTTAAACAAACCCGTGATAAAATATACCTGGACCTGGCCAGAAAATACAATGTGAGTAACGTAACACTAAGTATTCTCTATACGTTAATATATAAACTCTGGAAAACGTAATTTAGTTGAATAGAAGGATCTGTAAACTGGTTGTTCACGTCAATGGTTACTATATTTTATTTCAAACGTTGTTATAAATTATAATACAAATACAATAAGTATAATCGTAATATATTATAAATGTTAAACAATCCTGAGTAATTACTCTACATAAGAGATAATGAACCGTATTGTTATCGATTATTCTTCATACTTTTTTTTGTTGCGCCCGCCGATAGCCGGGCGGCGTCATCGAATGACGACGGCATATACATAATATAGAATACAATAATAACATATAATATAAACAATCCACTTTCATATGGAAGGAGTTAATTCCTAGGCTATTTATACTTTGCTCCTTAGAATCGAAACGTCATAAACTATACAGTATTTAACATCAAAAAAATGATCGCGATTTCCGACAATAAAAAACATTTACACAATGAGAGAAATGCGGTAATACACAGTGCAACGTGACAACGCCGTAATATTTAATATGTGCAGAATCTATACATAACAAGAGCGAAACAAGCGTAAAAATACTTTCTTTCGATCCTCGAAGGAATTAACGAGACGGAGGAGTAGAGGGGAAATAAAAGAAGAAGTGAAAGAACAAAATCAAAGAGGGAAAAATTGAAGGGGTTATTCTGCCCCTCGTCCTCCTGTCGTGACAAAAATGTTCCTTTCGTAATTCAGTTTACGATACAAAGAAGGGGGGAAAGGATACAGCCGCGATTAAAAGATTCAACAAATGCGAAGATAATATCAAAGCCTCCCTAAAAGACAAACGTTGAGCCGTCGAGTCAAATTAGCCCCCCAGTGGAGTCACATGATGGCGAACGAATCTTGTAATTGTATACAACGAAAACGTTTCTGTAAAGTAAGAAAACTATCTTGACGAGCTATTTTGCTTTCACATCAATAATACACGTAACACCATACATCGCGTTAGTTATCACGACACTTGTATACATGATTGGAACGTTTAGGTAGAACGCTGATTATCAAGGGCTTCCGTGCCTCTTTGATTCCTGAAGATACTGAGATTCTTCTATACACGACTTAAAAACGGATTTCTTTTAAATGCCTCAATTCGAATCGTAGAAAAAATTAAACGAAGTATATTAATATCATTTCAATAAATCACATGATTGCTGACTCCATTTTGCTTCACTAGACCAGATAATTGACGTTCCATCTATACTATCATCGCATTCGCTTTCTTGCCGTTTCTCGTTACTTTGTAAAACTTCCACAAACTGGTTTTCTATAGTAGAAAAAAAAGTAATTCTATTTAAGCGGACAAGTAAAAAAAGTTGTATTCAAAATCGTGGAAGAAATGAGAAACACTCGTACTGTACTTAGAGTTATATGAGAAGCACCATCTAAGAGCGTGTACGTAAACGAAAAATGAATCACCTACGATTGTTCTCGAAGCAATAAACAATCGGACGGAACGAGAAACGGCTGATAGCGGAATAATGCCCGAGAAAAAACGCGCGTCTGCTCGAGACGTCCACTTAACACTTGTTCCTACGGAAAAATTCATGTATCAAAGTCTAAATGCATATCAAACGTTAGCCGTGTTAGCATGACGGCCTTGTAAACGTGCTTAGCAAAAGTTCCAAGTGGTAAAAAGTCCCTTCGAAAAAAAAGAATGACCTATGATAGGATATTTCACGATAAGACGTTGACAATGGAATCCGCGGTTTTAACTGTGTGACGAAAAACGTCCAGCGACCATCGGGAGCCGAGCCCTCGTTTCGGCTATTTGAATCATGTTTACTTGATAAACATGCTCAATACGATCACGTGACGACTAGCCCGGTCCCGAACGTCCTGTGATTTAATTGACCCCGAATCGATACGTATCTTGCGCTTCGGTCGAAACTCTACCGCTATGGCAGTGACGAAAATGCGTGTAGATCATATGCGTTGAAAAAAGAAGGGTTACTCCCGAAGACGCTGTTTCGTTGAACGACGACAGAACGGATCTGACGTTACGGATCCTCGACGAAGAAGACTTTCGTCCGAACGAGCAACCGGTCTAGCACCATAAAGAAAATTATCGCGTACGCGCGATCAGACTCGAACAGTTTTTCCAGTTTTTTTGTTACAAAAAAAAAGTAGGAAGGTAGCTGCAATCTAGAGCTCGAAACGTTTCTTCCTCTCGGCGACCATGCCCACCGCTGGCAGTGGGGGGTGGAGCGGGTGATGGTAACTCGGCGTGGGTGTTGGGGGCAAGCTACGACAACTTCTGCTGGACCACCTCACTGCTGGAGACCTCATCAGCTCTGCAAAAAGATTGGAACCTTATCTGACTTCAGACCGAACGTACAGAACACACAAAGTATTTTACCAAACACCGAAACTACATCAGAGAGAAGCGAGAGTTTAGAAAGACTGTACACAATCAGTCCAAGTCTACGCGTATCGGTCTAGACACTTGATGTTAACATATAAAACCTTTGAGGCTTCCATTAGACGTTAGATGACTGACAACAGTACTATTATATCGAGTTATCACTCGATCCGTAATGAAGCTAGCTGCAATGCTATGAAAGCCTCAGGTCTCGTGATAAAACCTCGATACTCGTAGAAAGACCTCTACCGAAAGAGGAGGATCAGAATTACAAGTACAAACTTAATTTCCAACATGGCTGTTCGGTAATTTCGATCCTCTTCCTTTCAATGGATATCCGGCTAGTTCGGTTAATCGCAAGCTAAGAGACCAAAAGCGCGAGAAATTACTCTTTTTGAAATGGACCAAGCGTGCAAAGTGTGCGCCCAGCGGAACGAGTCGCGACAACTTGAACGATCTGACAATGTGCTCGGTGTGCAATCTTGGCAAAGAACTGAACGGACCTGCAACGGAGAGAGCTGCGGGTTCCGGGGTGAGGCGGGACGTGTGAGGATTGTCGACACGGAAGCCGAATGTCTCCGATTGTTGCTGCTTAACGGTTTGCTTGTTGTCCTGCCACCGGGTACCAGCGCTGACGGCTCGCATCTCTGCTGTGCCACCTTTCGTGTCAAATAATTGTCGACATACGATTACCACGATTGCACAGTTGGCCTACCCCCTTAGACCGTATTCCCTGTTATGTTCAGTGTTGGAAACAGAGTTATGAGTCGCTCGACAGAAAGGTCTCGACGAATAGAAATTGTTCTTTGAAAGAGTGGTGGGGAATTCGACGTTATAATCGGATTAAAATCGATTGGCCGCTCAAGGAAAATTTCCCGATTCCGAATTCAAATGAACGCTTTTACGAACAGTTAGTTAATGGAAGGGAGAAACTGTCCAATCCGTCTAGGGGGAATACATATATATATATATATATATGTATACATAATAATTTACTACTATAATTTTGATTGAATGCAATTGATTTCAAGGACAGTTCTCTCGATCAGATTGAGGGAAACGCCAGCTAATTCCTAGGCAGTCAAACGATTTTCCTCTGACTATATCGTTCATTGGCAAGAAACCCTTTCTATTATTCCTGCATTGCCATGCTCCTAGGATAATTCACAGACGATATGATGAGTAGAGCAGAGGACTCGAATAATATTCTTATACGCCTAAGAAGTTCCCAACAGTTTAAACGATGTTACTCTTACTTAGACACAGAGTTGCATCATCGATGCGGGCACACAGTCGATGGTGCGCGGAAGTCCAAACAGCGAGTGTGACTGGTGTGTTTGTACGTTGAAAAAATAGGTTCTCGGTAAAAAGTCTCGAAAAACATGTATCAGAAATATTTGCGTATCGAAAAAGTGTCGCGACGAGTGTCAAATTTGTCAGGGACAAATTCAGACTTCCACACCCCACCGAGGTACTTTTTGATATTATGCGTATTTTGTAGATTAGCTATCGCACGGATTAAACATTCAAGAAGTACACAGAAATCACATTCAGCATTGCAAAAGGCAGGGGTTACTATTGCGTTACGTTTTTCATACCGTTAATATCATACCATCAATTAGCCAATGTTAGACAACCATCACGAGTAGCATTCTCTTACGCGGATCACACTTGACGGAACACCGATCAGCAGTCGTATCGGTTCCGATACATTGTCACCGATTGGAATCGGTGCCGCTGGGTCCGCGGTCACGGCTACGTAAACAAAAGGTTATTGCACAACGATACAAGTTACATGTCAGTCGCGAGTCAAACTCAGCCATTAATTTATCAGTCGACGGATTAATATGTCCTCGAAGCGGTTAATTTCCATACTCTGTCCCACGTTAGAGTCACCTCACGATTGGACGAGTTTTCGACCGATCTGCAGAACCATACCATGAGTGACACGAGGTTATTTTTACGTGGGACAGAGTATAGACGAAAGCACCCGGGGTTAGTCTTTTACTCGTCTCTTACTCAAGATCAGGAGAGGTTTCGTCGCGTCGCGAATGGTTCCCATCGAATGTTAGAAACAAACAATAGAGGCCGATAATTCCGCGAAGCCTGACATGCCAGAAAACGACACGCGGGTAGGATCCACAACCAAAGTACCGTCGGCCGAGAAAGCAATCGAGACAAGTTTTTCATTCGATCCGCGTGCGACATGTCCGCCGTGTACATTCGTTGAACGTGCGTGTATACGCGACAGACAGACAGGCAGCGCACGGTTTTAGAGAAAGCACAGGCGTTCCCAAGAGAGGATCGATCGATCCGCCACCGGTCTAGTAATCACCGTTGTACATCCGGTTCATCTGTCGTCTGTACCTTGATACTGATGGGGCAATCCGCTCCTGGGCCTTAAGCTGTCCCATAGTGGCGATGCCAGACCGTTACGCTCTTGACACTTTTGCCCTAAGCTCACCTCTTTCCTATCGTGCGACGGAACGCCAGAACTACTCCCCGGCCTAACCAAGTTACTCGAGTACGGCAGCGAGACCGATTTAATCCGTTCGACCTTGTAGGAGAACGCGGCCGCCGGCCTGTCCGCGGCGACAGCGGCAGCGGTGACACTCTTTTGCAACGTGGACAACGAGCTTTTCCCCCTGTCGCCGGCACGTCTCTGTTCCTCGCAGCTACCCGCTCTGATCAACGGCTCGTGACCGGTCCTGACACGCTGCGGCGAGTACGCCGGCGAGCAGTTCAGCAACGACGATGTTTTCGATGCCGCCGCGCCGCCGGACGTGTCGCGAACGGCCTCCCCATGCTGTTAGTGAATAATCGAGAATAATAATAATAATAGTAATGCGTCAGTGCGGCGGCGGATGTGGGTTAACGATCGTTAAAAACGGTGCCGAGTGTTGGTGACGTGCAATTACACGTTATGGCGCTTCGGTTACACCTGGTCCCTGGATCCTTGAACCGTTACATGTTTCGTGCAGAAGCTTGGCACAACTTCCTATTGTGAGACAATACGTCTGAAATCGGTTGCGCGGTTGAAGATCAACGTTCTTGAATAGAAGGACAGAGGATCGAGTGATCTTAAGTGACCTCTCGTCCACATACAGAATCACATGTGAATTCGTAGTAATTATATAACGAACAGAGTCGGGTGGTTTCTAGGTAGCTATCGTAATGTGCCACAGTATGAATCTTCGGTTGATAAGCAAATACTACTGTACAGAATATAATACAAATATTAGTATATCTGTGATACAGTCTTTCACTCGAGGTCACTTTGCAATAGTACCAGGTGAGGGCGAAAACACGATTAAACATACGAAGCTTGCGAACACAAAAGCTTTACTATACCCTATGGTGCATCTCTAGGTGACACCGATTATCATGTATTTACAAAACAGTGTCAGTTCGTCTGTCGTGATTTAGTAACTTCTAAACGTCCAAAAGCTTGTCAGAAATAGAGCACCATAATATGTAATTGCAGCAGCGTTAATCATTTAGTAATATACATTTTTGTTAACCACATCTACGATTGCGATTGGTACAAATGGCGCTGGTGGATCTTTCCCCGGTTTACCTTCAATTGCTGCAGTCTGTGGATCTCCTCCCTTGGTTCGGTTATCTCGTTCTCCCTGCCACGTAAGATATGCATCGAGTCGTTAATCGATGTGTCGTTCGTCTCCAGTACCAAATGGGCCCTCAACTGTTTATTCCTGGCGTCCAGTTGCATGATGTGCTGTTGAGCCTGAGCAAGTTGTTTCGTGAGTGAACCTACTTTCTCCTCGAGAGCCGCCGACTCCACGCACTTGGAGGAGTACTTCGCGGACAGGGAAAGGATCTCCTGCTTTATCTCTTCCATTTCTTCCCTGAAAATCGTCACGCAACGATCAGAGAACCAAGATACGTTTAATAGAAGTCGAACGACACGAAGAACGATAGAATCGATCGCTTACTCGTGTTCCTTGTGAAGCACCCCAATGTCCTCTCTCGCCTGCATCTGTTTCAAGAACTCCTGCTTAAATTTCGCTATCTCCTTCTGCACCTCGTGTTCGTGGGCCTTTCTCATGGCGTCCAGAGCAGCCAGAGTAGCCTGGGTCTCTTCTGACAGTGCCTGTTCCTTTTCCACTCTCAGGTTCTCCAGTTCCTGTCGATGCTTCTCTTCCATCTCTGAGATGATTCGCCTATGAGAATTCTCCATGGCCAGTAATCCTTTCTCGCACAAACCCCGCAGCTGTTTGATCTCCTCCTTGTACCTCTTACGCGTCTCCGCGTCGGTGTCCAACTCCGCGCTCATCGATCTCTGATAAGCGGCTCTCAGTTCGTTCACGTGAGCCGAGTGTTCCGAATCCATCGCGTTCAGTCTGTGCTCCAGTTTTCTGGCCTTGTCCCTTAGACTGGCCGCCTCCTGTTCGTACTGGCAAGTCAAGGAATGCCTCTGGTTATCCAGTTCTCCTTTAATGTCCATCAGGTCTTGCTCCTGATTCCGTTTCAGCATGTCCAATTCTTCGTTGTGCTCGACGGTGATCCTCTTGATGGTTTCTTGCAACTGATCGCACTGCTTGCAGGTCAGACGGTTCATGTAGTCGCTCAGTTTCTTAATTTGTTCGCGCAGTTGGCTACACTTCTCGCAGACACTTGTCCAGTCCGTCACCGTCGACTTCGACCAACCGACTTTCTCAGCGTCCTTGTCTCGAACCCGCTTGGTCAACTCCACCAGGTCCTCCTCCAAGTAGAACAGACTCTGACTAACATTCTTCAGCTGTTCTTTCGAGCCACGCTTGCCGGAGATTCTCTCCTCGCACTCTTTGCTAAATTGCTGATAAAGGTAACTATACTCCGCGTCGAGGGTCGGATTACTTTGGAACTCGCTGTCGTCCCCTAGCAGACACGACAGGAGCTCGTCGTTTCGGATAAGACTAGATACGAAAGTCTCTCCAGGGAAGGTGGTCGACTGTCGAGTGTCCTCCTGGAGAAGCCCGATCCTGGCGTCGATTAAAGCTTTGTGCGCGATCACGTCCGCGTAGTCGGTCAGCAGCTGACGCGACTCGTATTTGGTCTGCACAACCGTCTTGTTCTTCTTCATGACGCAAAGACGTTCTTCGTACGCTTCCGATAGTTCACGAGTGGACAACTCCATCTCTTGTCTGAGTCTGGCCTGCGCCGCGTCGATCCAAGACTCCAAGCTGATATTATCCGCGGCCTCGAAAGTGAGACAGGCGTCGGTGATGCTGGTGATGTTCTGCTCGTACATCTGACCGCAACGCATAATGACATGGGACACTTCCGATTGCACGAGCTCTTTACTGACTGTTTCCTGGGCCAACGCCCAGGCTTCCCTTATCCGTCGATCCTCCAACAGTTTCTTATTCGAGTTGGTAACCGTTTTACCAAGATCCTCTTGCTCGGACATGCTTAACGTCTCAACGGCCAGAGCCTCCGCGAGCTGTCGCAGTTTCGTCTCCTTGTATCTCCTCACGATCTCGTTCACCTCCCGTTGCTTCTGCACGAGGAAGTTCAGACTCTCGCCACGGGCAGCGGAGACCTCCTTCGGCGTCTCTGTGACGGATACACCGCCTACCAGTACTAACTTATTCGCTAACACTTTAGTAAGATACTGAATGTAACTGGTGTTTTGGTACGATTTGGGCTTAGTTCCGTGAATCTTACGCATTAGGCTTGAGGCAAGCTGACTAGTTTCGACCAATTCACTGAGAACGGCACTCCTGTCGAACGTCCGGCCGATCGCGCACTTGATCTGCCTCAGAACGACGAACTCGAACGCCACCCGCTCCGCGATCAGCTTCGTCTTCTCCCGTTCGTCCAGCTGGCCGTTCTGCGCGAGCGCCTGCCGTCTCGCCGCGAGTTCGCTCAGCTTATCTTTAAGTATAGTCTCTACTCTAGACACCACTACCCCTACTGACTCGGTCACTTGAGCGCTAGCTTGGCTTTTCTTACATTCTAAACACGAGTCCAGTATGTCGTTCACCTCGCGCAAACACTTCTCCGCCTTGTCCTCCGCCTGTGTCGAACCCAGACACTTCTCCAGCCGTCTCTTCGACTTCGACACAACGCGTTCCAGCTTTCTCAACCTGGCGATGATCTCCAGCGAGACCTCGCTGGTAGAGGAACCGCTGACCTCGCTGCATTCGCTGGAGTCCTTCTCCGCGTCGCTCGCCATGTTCTCGGCCACGTTCGCCACTTTCGTCTCCAGGGTGCTCAATCTGATCAGTACCTTCATCGGCTCGGAGCTCGTCGCGCTGTCCAATGACTTTCTCCGCAGCCTGGTGCGATCCAAGTTCTTGCTCCGCTTCTCTTTCTTTGGATTAGGACTCGACTCCTTCGAGCCGGTTGAACCGATGCTCTTGCCGCGCTCTATGGCGCAGATCTTGTTCTCCAGGTCCAACAGTTTATCCTCCATCTCCTGTGAGATTTGGAAAGACTCGCGGCCTTTCAGAGACAACGACCTCCTCTTGTCCCTGGTCTCGGCCTTCGTCAGCTTCTGTTTCAACGTTCTCACTTGCTTCTCACTGGCGGCGAGCTTGTTGGTCAGATCCTGGATTCTTGCTGCCATCAGCTGAGCCTGCGCCTGGTTCGTCTCGCTTACGCCAGCTGCGTCCTGTTTGTGCGCAAATATTTCCAGCTCCAGCGCGTCCTGCATCGCGTGAGCCTCGCGAAGCTCCTTCCGCATCGCCCGAATCTCCAGAATGGCCTTCTCGAAGCGGCTCCGGAGTTCATCGTACTCCTCCATGATCCTATGAAGCAGATCGTACAATGAATATCACATAAGATACAACTTTATTCACGATGCGTAGAAATACTTACCTCTCTTTGTCGAGAGAATTCAAGTCCAGGTCCAGCTCGATGTTCGTCAGATCGCTTAGCGAGTCGAAGCTTCTCCCCCGTTCCCTCGAGCTAGACAAACCGCCCTTTTCCTCGAGTTCTCTGACCTTGGTGTACAGACGCTCGTTCTCTTCAATTCCTGTAACAATGAAACGATTCATTCGATCGTACTGTTTACCTAACCAAAGTTTTCAAGTTTCTTTCACCCCAACGCACCTCGCGATAATCTATCGCTCAACGAAGCGATCTCGGCCTGAAGGTGTTCAACGGTCCTGTGACTCGACGCGAGCTCCTTGGTGAGCATTTCGCAGCGTTCGTTGGTCTCCCTGAGAATCGCCTCCGTCTCTAACAGCTTGCACTCGAGCATCTCCTTGTCCCTGGTGTACATCTTCTTCATCTTCTCCAAATCCTCAAGATCCTTATTCCTCTGTTGCTCGGTCCTCTGTATGGTGTTCAGCAGCTCGTCCACCTGTTTCTCCCTGATCGAAGCCTCAGCTTTTTGCTGTCTAAGCCTGGCCAGCTCCTTCTCGGCGTTCGCGACGTCGGTCCTCGCGGCGTTCAGCTGGGACTTCAGGCTCTCGATCTCGTTCTCCTGACGCTCGACAATGACTAGTAGCGTGCTTGGATGGGTCTGATTCTGGTCCAGCTGATCACGCAACAGAGACACCTGATTCTCCAGTAACTCGACGATCAACGGGCTATCGTTCGCGCTTGATAGGCAGCTGTTGCTCTGCATGTGTCCGTTCGTTTGCTCCTCGTCTTCGCCGAGCTCGCAGCAGGCCATCATGAGATCCTCGGACCTGACGCTGTCCAGGGTGCTTCTTCTCGAGCTGGGCGGTGAGCTGCGGCTTCTCTTGTACACTCTGGACCTGGAGCTGGATCGCGAACGTGCTTTCACCCGCGATAGAGCGGTTGTGGTCAAGGGCGACGTTTCTTACCAACGGCGGTGACACTGGTACCTCTGACCAGTCGCCGGATTCTCTTCTGCCGCCCTCCGATGCTGTCCTGTATTCCTCATCGGACGAGAAAAGCACTGACCTGGGTGTCACGGAGGTAGATGGGACCACCGAGTCCCGTTCACGATCCGTGATCGATCTGAGGACGGAAAGCAATCCCAGAGATAATTCTCCAATACTCTCAAGGTCGCTGCCACGGATTCCTCTATCGTAAGGAAGCCGAAGAATCTAGGCTAAACAAACTATGCGCCACTTACGCGGTAGGCGACTGCGGTGTACTGTCCTGCTGTCCATCCTGGCAGACCGCAAGTGAGTCCACGTTACTGTCCGGATCCGGCAAATTAGCGGCCCTTCTGATCGCCGACATCCAGCTGGCCCGTATCCCGGCGGTGACCGCGGACAACACGGTGGAGCCTCGATCGTCCCAGGCCTTGACGGAAAAGCGGAGAACGCGATAAAACGGGGCGCATGCGTCTTATTGGCTATGTAGGCCGATCAGCGGGACACAGTTTCAGGGACACCACGAAGATCCAGTGACACGAATAACAGAAGAGGCGAACCAACGAACGTACCTCGAACTGTTCTACCGTGAAATTGAGTTACCGACTTTTTTACCAAGGCCACTCCCCTAGCACGGAAGTTAATTCCGGCAATAGGCCGATTGAGCCGCAAGTCGCAAGCCTGCTGGCTGATTCACGACGAAGCTAACTATACAGTTCCTCGCGGACGCGCAATCGTCCCCGTTTTGTGATCGTGTCGAGCGATCCATAAACAGACAAAAAGAGATCCACTACGCGCGGTACAATGTATATTTAAACCGACGAGGAGGACGACATAGGCCGTTTTCTCGCATTCTACTTATTCCAGCATCGCGGAAGACGGCGAAGCAGAACCGCACCTCCCGCGAGAATGCCTAACTGGATTTCCGTTCCCGCGGAATGTTAATTACCGTAAATCACCGACCACGGCGAAATATTTTCCCCCGGTCACACTCACCACGGTCTGGAATCCATAATTTCTTGCGACTTGAAGGGGCGTGACGGCGGTAACGGTATTCAGATCTATGACGCCGTCCATGATACCCTTATCTTCCGCGCAGGGATCTCGGTAGTACATGAGGCCGCAACCTCGCAGTACGAACCAGTGCTTGTTCCATTCCTGCGCCACACACGGATTCGTTATGCACGCTATTTACACACGACGGATCGAGGAAAATATAGGAAGTTGAACACGAGAGAGGAGTAGATTTTTCCATTCCAGCTTCTTACCGTGGAATGGTTGCAATTATGGTCCATGTGACACGTCGCAAGATTTTCGGTCGCCGCATTGACTTACAAGGAAACACTTTGATACCTCGATAATTCTGATTTTTTTTTTCAAACTTGGACAATTTTTCGAGTTTACTGGTATTTCGTTCTTTGCGGTGAATGGGCTCCTTAATTGTTAAGCGAGAACTTCGTGTAACTGGTTGAAAAATCGACTTTGTTTTTTGCATAAATCGATAATAATGCATCTGGAGTAGTTTTAGTTTGTAGACAATAGCGCGTCGAGCAGGTATCAATCGGACCACAGAGGTCCGATGCAACTGCAATCGATGGACCGCAAAAAGCAGAATTATTCGGTGAAAACGCAGGTATTTTGTTTCTCGGAGTCAGTTGTGTTCCGAATTTCGGCCCGTGCAGAAGTGAAAATAAAGACGATAAGTATCGTCAGTCTAGGCCACGTAAAAGAAGAAGTGTCAGCAATTAATTTGTCGAAATAAAAGGTGCTCCGAAAAGTCAGAGTGCTTCGGCAAGAAAACTTAGTGCTGCAAATAGTGATATTGTGCCATTTTAAGAATGATGAACATTTTGGAAATAAAAATTGGATACCAGTGCAAATCCAAAAAAAAAACCAGTGTAATAAACAGGCTCGCTCTGCTCGCAGAGAAGAACAACTAGAACTGTAGCAGTTTTTTAGAGAAACAGAAGGTTTGCTGTATGGACCTGGAATCGCAGATTAGCGCGAAATAGCTGTAAGTAGCCAAAAATGTATACTTTTCATTACCTGAAACTTTTTAAACGCATTTTTCTTAAAACTAGTTTTTTCAATTTGGCGTGCAGCATAATTCGAAAAATATTTGACCAATCCACTTATCCCAGTGCATAGATATAGAAAATTAAATTCCCTTCTAGATGAACCTATAAGTTTAAAAATATTATTACTGTAACAGCAAAAACGAAAAATTATCCAATGCTTCTATCGAGGTCCCATACAAACCTGCGGAGTTTAAAAAAAAAATTGGGAATTTTCGGTCTACCGAAATTCCTTCGTTAGGGAAAAATATTTAAACAGGAACCTCTGTATCATGATTAATTCGAGTTTGCAAAAGCCGTTGTCAGATCTTAAATAAATATTATCGAGACACCACGAAAGTTCAAAGGACTATATTTGCGGTAATACGAAGTAACGAAAGACTGTGTAATTCTACCGGAGAACCAGTGTGTCATCGTGTGTTATTCAGGAACCGTATATGAGCCCCGAGGAAGCGCGCGCGTATTAAATTCGACACGCACCTTATTGAGTCCCTGCTTCATTAGCCAGCCTTTCTTGATGTTCAGCAGATCCTCCGCGGGCAAATCGACGCGCAGCTCCGAGGTGGGGGAATATCTGATGCCCGAGATGTCTAGGCCGCAACCGTCCGGGTCGCCTCTGATCTGTATCGTATATTAAAATGATTAAGGATTTATCGCCGATGGAATAGATATTATACGATACTGACCAGTTTATCCTGGTAGGCAGCGTTCGCCGCGTCCACAACGTCTCTAGTCGGCTCCGAAGTTCGAGGCTTGATCCTTCGCACGCGTGGTTGAGTCAACGATGCTGCTATGTCTCTCAGTTTCCCCTCCCTCTCCCTCTCGTGCTCCAGGAATATCCGTCGACAGGCATCGTCGTCTGACGTAACGTACAGATATACCCGTCGATTATGATTTTCGAATGTATCAGATGTACCAATAACAAATCCACTTCGATGGGTAGTTAATTATATGCATTTCGGGCCAAGTCTCTAATGTGCAACCCCCCAATAGTGGGGATGAAGCAGAAGCATTCAGCATAGATAACTCCCCGAGCAGTTATCGAGGATTTACTGTGCAATATTTTATTTGTATTCGTAACAATTTTCTGGGAAACTATACCCTATTCTTCTTCGGTCTAAGATTTGAAATCGCTACCGTTTGAAAATTCAAAAACATTGTGGATTATTTATCGGTACGTTTAATAGTTTACATGGAATAACATAGAGCAGGTTGTCATTTCATGGGTCCTCCACCTCTTACACCGCCGTTTCTATACACCGTTCCCAATTTCTTATTCAACGAGCATCTTTGCAAATGAACAAGCAGTTTTCATTTATTGCACAATAATTCTTGTACAACGAATCTTTAAACGAAAATTTCATAACTGTCGATTCACCAGAAAACAAAGCGTGTACCGTTTTTCTTCGTAAATTCTCGCGTCCAAAATGAAAACAGTCGACTTTTTCCCCAAGGAGAACTCATCGACCACACACACAGTGACGTTCGAAACGCGTCCTCGAGTCGTGGCGGAGGCGTCTGAGCGACGTCGAAGGCGTATCCCGTGGAAAAACGCCGCGATTACCCGCGAACACGGAAGACCACGTTGCGTATTATAATTACAGTGGGTTCAACAACGGTGGGGGACGGATCCCCACCGTTGGCTGGAACGCTGGATGTTATCGAACATTCGTCTCGCCGCGTCGCCAGGCTTTAACCAATTAACTTCTTTTCCATCCGCGTGAAACCCCTCGGACGAACCTAACCCAGCACGTCTCGATTCGTTAATTGACTGCCGACTAATTAATAACCGGAGGGAGGTCCACCTCCGCCCGCGAACCACCGACGAAACACCACCCCTTATCTGGCTCGTTTATCCGCGGTTTTTACCGTCGATCCCCCGATCGAAATCTGACCACCATTACTATGCTAATTACGGTTTCCCATAACGCGTCTCGTCGGGGCTAACACGCCAAAAAGAATACCAGGGAGCCCACGGAAGAATGGAGGAGCTGGATGGTGTATTGACTTTCAACGATTCATCAATCGGTGTCTGGAAGCTGTTGGAAAATGTTCCTCCCGTGACGCTGATCTGGGCCGATTGGCCGGGCCGGTAGGTGTTCCGATAGATTAGAGGGATCGAGGGAGAAGCTCGAAACAAGAAACGGATAATTAACTACGGGTACTTAACGCGCGGAGTAGTGGTAATTAGATTTACGGAGGAACAAAGAGTAGAACGAACAGAGTTCTAATAATGTGATATAATAGAAGCTATTGGTTCTATATAACGTCGACACCTAATGACGATTACAATCCGGTACCGATAAAATTCAATAAATGTGTTGACTTATATGCGAGTGAGGGCACAATGTAACATTATGTTCGCTTCTATTAACGTTCAACCGTTTACAGCAAAGTGGGAATATCCTGCTAGGATGTAATTTCAAAGAAAACACACCGATGATGAAGCAACTTTGAGATTGGAGAGAGAAAGAGCGTAATGATCTTCAATCGCGCCCCGTTAACATGTCCGTACGCGATCGCCAAGAAGATTCACTAATTGCAGGAAGTTTATTAACGATATTTATCTCGGTGCAGCCGGTTCGAAACGCCCAGATCGCGATTTTTATTCGCCGAGAGACCGAGACGGGTGAGGACGATCGGAGGGCGTTTTAATCGTTCACGGGAGAAAAACCGCGGGAAACTTGATGAAATTTGATGGTATCAGTTTTATTGGTTAAGTCGTGTCGATTTCGCAGCGCTATCCATTCAATCAAGTTCTGACATTTTGGAATCGTTTTCGGTGTAGCTCGAAATAACCGTAGTCTCGAAAGTTTCGCGATAGTAATTGCCCCTCCGAAGGGTATCGAGGCCCCGTAACTTTCCAGCCTCACCTCAGGGCACCACCGGCCGCGTTCGTTCCTTCGTTCCTTTCGACCGCGCGAAGAATTCTGCCTGCGCGCGATTACACCTCCTTCCTTTCCTGCGTCGTTGCGTAATTGCGTGCGTACAATCTCCGAGGAAATCAGCCCAGCCGCGCACCGGCGTGCCGTGATCTCCGCCGCTCGACCGGGTTGATCCGTAGATTTCATTTAGATTGCCGTCGGCCGAACCGCCGTGAACGCGACGCGCTGTCCGTGCCACGGGTGATCACCGCCGATCCACGCCGAATCCTGATCCCCGAAAGATACAATACACGAAAGAGCAGTTCTTGTTGTTTTTCTCATCCGCGGAAACTGCGATTCCCGATGAAGAACGAGGAGATCTATCGTCTCTGCCAAGAGTGTTTCTTGTGTAATCCTTGGCTCGAAATTCTTGGGATTTCATTGGTTCTAAATTCTTGGATTTTCCACAGCTTCCAAATTCAAGGATTTCCTTTTGTTCTAAGTTCTTGTGTTTCCATTGGTTCCAAATTCTTGAATTTCAATTGGTTCCAAATTCTTAGATTTCCGTTGGTTCTTAATTCTTGGATTTCCACTGATTCCAAATTCTCGAGTTTCGTACTCTACCCATACGTGAATATACGAATCAGAGATGAACAGACATCCTAAAGAAGTTACACTATGAAAATCTAGATAATGGGATCTAGTCATCGAAGTGTACTTTCGAGTGTGGAGTAACAGACACCAAACACGCGACTAACGTAAAAATCCTCGAAAAGAAAGATCAAGGAACCCCGATGCAACGCAGCGTAAACGAAAACAGTTTCGTTGTAGTTGTTGAAGATCCGAGGACAGTGAACTTAACGCTTGAAATTCTTTCGATTCTAACGGAGTATCCGCGAGTATAGAACGGCAGAGGAGAACTCTAGGGGCCGCCCCCTCTCGTATATTTCTTCTCCCAATCAGATCTAGCCGCGACGCAAGGCACTAAATTCCCATTAATTATTCCCTGATTAATCGTTCCCGTGGTCTAAATCAATGTAACTATTAGAAACGAGAAGGCTATTCGTGAGGCGAGTGCCCGCGAAGGCGAATCATATCGCGATTAAAGGCTCGTAGCTCACTGGGAAACGACAGGCTGACTTATCGCCGATTGGAAACGGCACGTAACCACCGGTGGATACCAAGTGTGCTGGGAACGCGCCGGGCAGAAAAAACCCTTTGAATTTAATTGGAATCCCCCTATCGGGGAACGGAAAGGGAAGAAAAAAGGGGAAAGGACGACGCTCCCCTGCCACGGGGACGCCGCTGATTAATTTCACCTGAAACGATTCTCGCTAGCCAGTGATAATGACAGAGACACTCTCCACCCGGTTAGACGTTATACCACGGCGCCACGACCGCAAGGACGAGGAGCTTCCTTGTCCGATTAAATTATATCATCCGTCGCGTTTTCCATTTCTAATTTAACTTCTGACTTACAACACCGCGAACTCGATCGGAGATTGGACGTTTACGATTAGGTTTTCGACCGCGAATGATCGGATGAATTGATAAGTTTCAGGTTTTGAGTGTAGATAATACATCGACGTAGATGAAATTGGGTATTTGTAACTGTACGTTTAAGGTACCTCGAAGATAATCGAAAGTTTTATGGTGCTTCCAGCGAAAGATACGATGAGCTAATGACTTTTCAGAGTTTAACGGATAATTTCAAAGTATCGACGCAATTGAAGATTCGTAGTTTAGGCATGCCAGAACGATACCCAGGACCGCCGCCGCGATCGAAATGGGCTCACGGACTGGATTTTCGCACAGCTCCGCCGTATCTCCCCTCCTCTCAATGGCGCGCTAACTGTTTTGTTTATACCGTCAATTGTCAAGACGGGGAAAATGGGTCAGGTACGATTTAACGCGGCGCGCAAATCATCGCCGGCGCTGCTACGACCCAGTTTCCCTCTCCAATCGAATGAGATACCATTGTTGCCGTAAAACTGAATCGCCGGTACCCGAGATCCTGGTCGCGAGCGAATTTCTCTTCGCGTGCCTATCCAAAGGCGCGACCAATCAAATCCATTAACTCTAAAAGACCATCAATTAGTCCGAAGACTATAACAACTAGACCGATATTACTCATAGTCATAGATATTCAGACGTTTCGAAATCCTCGTGAAACCATAACAAACGAGTTCTCGTTAAATATTTTATACCGAAACTTTAACTGTATACATCAATAACATGACAGTTAAATTGTTAACGCAACCACTCCAACTATTCTGGTCTCTAACTCTCCGATCATTCTGTATGTAGCACACGAAGTGCACACGCTATCTTGCGTTGACGAGGTATAAGAATAGACCTTTCATCTTATGGGAGTTGGTGGCCCACCTAAACAGTAGTACCGACACCTTAAAAAGCCTATGATTTTAGCGACCTCTACGTTTTGAGTAACCCCAGAAAAGTGGGCCGTAAAAATACATAGGATGAAATGTCTCTACTCCTATACTCCTCGTCTGTGCTATCGGTGAGCTAAAAATCCACGTGGTATACGCGAGGTAACCGGAAGCAAGTTAGAATCCACGGTTAATCCTCGTCTCCGCGGCGGCCATACGGAGGAGGAGGCAAGGACAGCTCCGGGCGATTCTGTACCTTTTATAATTCCTGTGTATGTACGCATCGTATGTATATACCGACCTAGTTTCTCGGTGGAACAGGCCGGCCCGGTGCTCGCCCGTTCCCCGTGCTGATTCATCCTGCGTCTGGCCTTGTCTTCGGCTCTCAGCTTATCCCTGGTCGGCGGCGAAGCGCTGCTCGCCGGTTGATCCCTGTAACTGGTCGATCTACCCTCGTTGGGAACGATCGGCGGTTTCTCCGTCAACGATGCGCTGTTGGTCGTCGACGGTGTGCTGGTCGACGTGGTGGAATAGACAGTGCTGACCACGGTGCCGTTCATCGTGGAGGTGGACGGTACCGCAGTGGACAGGTAGCTGCTTCCGTTCTCCAGGGGTGCGCTGGTCCTCAGCGGTGACGCTGAATTGTTTCGGTGCTCGTTGCTCGTTTCCGAGTTTCCGTTGCTGATCACCGGGCTGCTGGACGTTGTCACCACGCTGTTGGTCACCGGAGATGGCGACGAGGAGATCTCAGGGATCCATGTGTTGCTACGGGGCTCCGAACGGCAACTGTTGAACCGGGGACGCGGTGGATTTGGGGTGTTGCCTGGAAAATCGAACGCTTCTGGGTTAGACGGTGGTTCGTGGTGGAATTGAGAGTCGATACGAGATGATACATTTGTATGGAGAGGAGAATGAACGTTTAATTTATTTCAATGCGGTGGGTGTCGTGTTCGTTCGAACGGGAGACCTGATTCTGGCTGATTTTTAAGATCACGAATAGTGTTGAGATAGTAATATTGAAGGAGACTTTGAGAAAGTTACGCTCTGTGGTCGAGATTCCGAAGGAAAATGTATATTTCAGGTGGTATGCAACGTGGTGATCCTAGGGTGACTCTAGGTTTTGTTTTTAGGGAAAATCCTGTAATTGTCTCTTGAAATAGCTATCTACGTTTGAATTTAGTTAAACGAAAAGATTCCGTTCTTCTATCTGATTCTCGGGAACGTGTGAAAACAGGCGTGGTTTAAAAGTTTCCAGTGAGCATTAAGATTTTCTTGTATCGTCGCACCCAGTTGTTACCACGCGTGCATCGTCAGCGAGAAATTACTTTAACCCAATTCGAACGACTGCTCTAAAGAATATGCCAATGACCTCGATATTTCAATTGGATCGTTCGTCGTCGAAACGATCGACTCGATCAAAGGGACAGAGTACGACGCTTCAGTGTATTCCCTTCTCCTCGGTCGAGTAATCATTTCTTAACCAGCCGACAATTATTCCCTCCCTTCGGTTTCCTTCAAACCGCGAATTCGTTTCCACGGGGGGACGCCTATAACGTCGCGCTCGGACGTGTTATTTATATCGTGGTTCGTTGATTTAAGTGTCGCTCGATGGAAACGTTGCTTCATAAATCCATTGAAACCGCGCAACCTTTGGTTGTACCATTCGAGAATTATTGCCCGCGTAAATGACAGGGACAACGGGCTTTAACGGCCCCGATGGAATTACTTACTCCTGATCGTCGGGGTGACCTGAAGAATGGTTGTCTGCCCACCGGGGAACGTCGCGTTCCGCTTGTGCCGGCCCTGGAACATTTCAAACAGTTTACTTTCCCCGCTTCTAATTACCTATTCGCGCGCAGGTGTGCGTTCGATTTTCTTTGTACATATATTTCCTGACAACGTCGATCGATAAACTACCGGATACTTTGGATTCTTCGAAGGATTCCTTCGAATTACGCATAAAAACATTACCATTTATTAATCCTTCAATGTGCAATAATACATCCTTGTACGATACAATACAATCGATTTCTCATAGATACACGACGTTCTTCGGCTTCGGCTCTGGACACTGTGTCTTCGACATCATTTACAGGTAATAGACGCCGCGCAAAACGTGTCGATGCAAATCCATAGGTACGTACATATATCGTTCTCATAAAAACGCAGCAATTAAGCAGAAACCTATTTTCCTTATTAACGACTCCGTTAATTGGAACAGAGAATTAATAAAGAAAAAAAACCAGTCTTAGACTTTATTATTGAAGTTTTTACCCGTCTCCATTTCGCTCGGTCGCGTTCACTCTAGAAACGCATTAAATCCGTCGGTCCAGTTATTATTATCCATAAAACCCGTAGTTCGCCGGCCGTTTAATTCAAATGCAATGCAATGAAATAAATAAGTAATCGTTTAAGGGAGGGGGAAATCAACCGAAGATACGGTATCGTCGACAACGACGTCGTCTGTCGGTCGATCGGATCGTTCGGAAAAATCGTAGCAATTATCTGCCCGTCGACAGTCGCGGCTCTCGTGGCCGGAATGTCGTAGAATTTCCTGCGTGTGGGCGGGAGAGGTACGAGGGCACGTATGGGTCGCGGTAGGCGGCTGCAATAACGGTCAGATAAGAGTAACGCTGATAATATTCCGCGAAGAAGGTGCTCGTCCCGGCGTGCATAATTCATAAGATCCCTTTGCACGGTGTAATACAGCGACGATGCACGGACCAAACCAGGGGATACGAAAACGTTTCAATTGAAAAGGTACGATTCGATGGATCTGTAATACAGGGTGATTTTCTCGCTGGTGGCACCAAAGAGTGTAGCCGTCCCATGATTTTTATTACATTGATTATGATAAAATATGTACTAAAAATATGTGTATTCCTAACACAACTAAACACCTAAATAATTTCCGTCGTCCTCGACAATACAAAAGAAAAAAAATGACCAAAGGAGGTTCACACGGTTCAAGGATCTACATCCAGTGCCAATGAGAAAGGATACCTTCTCAAGCACCTTCCCCGCGCATCTTCCAGTTTACAATTCACATTGTTCCTTCCCCCTATGACGTCTATAATGGTCGTAATAATTCAACTTTCATTCGTTTATAATTCATTTCTCGGATCGCTTCGATTCGATTCCCCACGGTATTTTTCCAGCAAACGGACAAGTATCAAGAACACCGTCCCGAGTTGTCGTTCGAAACCGATCGTCCTCGGCCCATCCAAGATTCCCGTCGATCCACACACGTCGAACGTTCTACAGCGCGCGGGCACTCGATCGATTCCGTTACGCAAGGAATGATCGATCGGCAAATGGAAACACCTCGTCGCCGCCCGTTGGACCTGCCGCCCGGTGTAAACGTACGATTACATTACGAGGCCAAGGCGACGCGTGCGTATGTACACATATCTGGACACCAGAGCCAGACTGTATTAAGTCATACTGTTCAAACGTCAGAGGAGAGCGAATCAAACGTGCAAAAACCTCTTGTGACTTTGGAATCGTTCGATAGGAATTCAACGAGAAGCAATCGCTACCTTCCAACTATTGAATGGACTTAAGACAAGTCTCGATATATGTAGAAATGCAACAACAAGGATTCGCGTGGCGAACGGACGAGCGGCCGCGCAGGAAACGGGGCTCCCGTTTAAACTTTTTCCATCCCTGTCGCCACGGATCGCGACCGTAAAAGAGGCCACCAAACGAAACGAAACGAAACGAAACGAAACGAAACGAGAGGACGACGATCGCAATTGGCGAATAGACCACTCTCGGGCGTGTTTCTTCTCCTGGTTCGGAACACCTGTCCGATATCCCACTTAAACGAGTCTCGTTAATTGCGAAATAATTCGCAGGAAACCGCACCGCCAGTGTTACGTCCCCCTTCCCCACGCCCGCTAAGCTTTCTCTATCTTTATCGAGGCCTATAACTACGTTTCTCGATCCTAGTCTCTTTATTATACAGGGTCGCTTTCTTAATCGACATATTTTAATGGGGGAGGAGGATGGTGGGGAACGTTCCGTCTCAGCCGGTCGTCGAACTTAAACGATCATTTTTTGTCTCGACCGTCTAAGAGAAGCGTTCCCCATTCTCCCGATCAATCATCTCTTACGCAACGCGGGTTCCCGTTGTTGTCGACGAAGGTTCGAGTGTGACCCGACGTCGGGTATTGCACACAACGGATTCATCGATCGACACGCGGGCGAAGAACACACCTCGTCCGTAGGAAATCCAAGGTAAATGCACCAATGAACGAACACTTAAGAGATTTTGTAACTATTAAAGCCGAATTTTAAATGATAGTAATATTAATAAATGTACAACGCATAAAAATTAGATTTTTCCAATATATCTATACTTTTTGTGTAATGTATAGATTTCAATTTGAAGAAATTGGATAAATATAATTAATTAAATGAAGAAGAAAAAATGTGTGAACATTAACCAGAAAATGAACATTTCTAATCAAAAATGGCATGAAAATTGCTCGATACGCGCGTGCGATCGAATAAAGACACTCGGCTAACGCGTCTGTTCAATGCATTCCGTTTCTACTTACCACAATTCACGTGTTTCAGTTCACTTTTCAAAGTCGATTTTCTCGATATCGAAGTTCCGAAATGAAAAAATTTCATTCTCTATGTTCAACTTATTTCTTCCCGTAGAATCACCCCTACTCGGTTATACCCCTAGACACATAACATCCTGTACACAAACTAAGTTACTGCAATCATCACAATCATACAGGTATTGTCTACCAAACGGCGCAAATTTCGTACACATTGACAATTACAGTATCCGCTGGTACAATGGTCAAAATTCACCAACCATCCCGTATGTATTTGAAAATTTGTCTTCCGCCGCAAGAATTCAGGACAATTCAAGGCCAGGGATGATCGCGTGGACGAGATCTCTGAGAGGAATAGAGGAACCGAGGCGGTGAACGTGCGCGTCCTCGATTAAAATTAATTGAAATACACACACGAGTCTACGCGAGGGAAGTTAATCCTCCTGGCGAAGCTGAATGTGCCTGTCGGGTATCGCGGTGAATCGGCCTGGAATCGAATTGAATCGTCTCCGTCGGGGATTAACAAACATGGACGACTTGTTAGTTGGCCGGTTCGCCGGTTCGCCGGTTCGCCGGCGTTCATTGTCCCTACATCGCGGCGTCGTCACCTGCATAATCGGGTCTATTCCGGCGTGTGGAGAAAAAGAAACAAGTGGGGGAAGAGGGAAGAAGAAATAGTCGAGGGTAAGAGTCCTTTGAGGCGAGCGGAACGACCGTGGTGTGCGTGTGAATCGGCGAGTGAATCGGCGAGTGAATCGGCTCGATCGGACGACACGTCCAAGAACGTTTGCCCCGTTTTACGTTCGCGACTCCCCTTCGTCCGACTCGCATTATTTCGAGACCGTAACGAGTGTGACGCCGCGACAGCTCGCGCTAATGATCGAGCATTATCGCACTTTTGCCCGAGCCAGTTTCTTCTTAGGCCGACATACTCGGCCGTCCATTCGCGGGTAAATTAATCCCCAGGCGGCGGCTTCGGCCGGCACTGTACGCCCGTTAAACTGGACAACTCTACCACCGAGAATGTTTCATACGGAAGCGCGCCCGTCCTTAGGTAAGTATGCCGAGACCAGATCGGTTTGCCGCGATTTTCAGGTATTTAAACGCACCGACATCGTAACATTATTACCTCGACTGGGATTATTACGGTGCGATCGGGCGACGGTAAAATTACGCGCTCGAAGCCCAGAAACGGGTACACTTGTTATCTGGATAATGAGTTTCGAATGAATTAAAAGAGACAGTACTTCGTCGTATTTATGAGACCAGTCTACACGGTAGTCCGAATTTTCTTGGATGTTTGTGGAAGGGAAACTGGAAATTGGTAGTTATGAGAAGTAGGTATAAAATGATGAAGATATACATATATACAGATAGAAGATTAACGGTTTTAACACTAGAACTACTGACGATAAACGCATTTCGATATTCCTGTCTGAAATCTAATTATAATAATTCTCGTAATCCCATCCAGCTAAAGAGTAATCCCACGAATTAGGATCACGTTAACACATAGATCTACGATTCTTTCAAGCATTATGCACGACAGCAAGAAGGATAAAACAGGCTGCGATCGGTTCGCGTGAAAAGGAACGTCGCCTCGGGTGTCGTTCCCCCCATTCCCCGCCTTTGATTCTCTTGTGTGCGCGCGTAACTCTCGAAATTCTCGTGTCTCCTCCCCCCTCCCGTTTCTGTCGAATTTCAAATAAGTCGGGGCGTTTAAACGGAACGGCGAATTATACGTTTCGGGGCCGAGAGCAGACCTGAAAAAGAACGAACGCCCGATACGACTGGGCTGCTGCGCGCGCCGCTGTCATTCGTTGATTACGGTTCCCGTCGCGTAATCATTACTACATCCGTCTGCGTCATGCTTGTTACGCGTGCAGTAATACCAGTTGCGGCCGACTTGTCTCACCGGCGGAAACGGCTTTAATAAGGCCGCGGAACCGAGACCGACCGTGCACGGGCGCGGTCCGCCGTTTTGCGAAAAACAGACGTGAAACAGCTGACGGGCAAAACGTATCCGACCCACGGTGAACTGTGCCGGACAGACTGGTTTATTATATAATTGATATTTTACGGAAGTTTGCGTTGGGAATACGAAATACTGGGTTCTAAGAAAGGGAGGGAAGTCTAAGACTGTATGGGTTAATTTATATAGTATAACTCTCCGAATGGAGTAATGAAATGTCTAATCGACATGGTATAATTGTATCACAATGAAATGATGGTAGCCTTACATTCGTCATATAGATACAATAATATTCCAATAACTTCTTGGAGGGGCAGGTTGTTTGTACAAAACTGTAGGTAACGCATTTTTTTGTACGCCCGCGTAATTCTACTTTAAAAATCGAGTAACTTTCGTTCCAAACATTTTTCGATACGACGATTAATTTACACGGTAATCGTAGAACGATAGTTTTTAATTCTTTACAAATTCATGCTAATTTGTTTCTTGCAGGATATGAATATACGCGATAACTCGGCTAAGCTACTCACATTTATAGACCAATTCTGCCGATAACCGATCTACGAACACACACCTGTGGTACTCATTTAATTAACATTAATCACTACCGGAAATCGGTTCAGATAAGCACAGGTTTCGACGAGTGTCGAAATAAAAGAGTCGCGTTTACTCTTCTGCGTTTCACACGGCGAGCGTACCTTGTTCCTCGAGTAGACCTGTAGCACGTCAGCCCACCATCTCGTTTCCTCGCGACACGTGCCCTTCACGAAGGTCACGCCCTCGGGCGAGGTCACAGCGAGGCTGTAAGGATGTCCGGTGATGTCCTCGGCGGCGGCGACCTCCAGGACGCGAGTCATGTCGATCCTCGCCTGTGGTACCGTCTCCGGCTGCAAACAGAAATCCCAATGTCACCTGGTTGATTCACCGTTCGCGAATCAATAATCTTCGTCGCGCGGTCGCCAATTTAGCCGAGCAACTGTCCGTCGAACGGCGGTTTTCATTCGATAACACGATAATTTAACGGGGGCGATCGGTAGACTCGTTACAGTAGCTTCGCGCTGAACGATCACCGGAAGTCGCTCTAATCCTTCTTCTACATTCCACAACGCCGTTTATTCGCGATTAAAGCCCCTAAATCGCATTTCCTCTGAACAATCCGTCTCTCCCGGCCGTAAATTAGTCGAGGCGTAATGCTCGGCGACCAGCTGGAGCGAGTAGAAAACGCCATTGGAACAGTACAACAGAAGGGGCCATTTTATCGACCATTTTCGACGACTTTCACGGGGCAGTGGTCCCGCATAGAACGTGGCAACGGAACCACGGTACCCATGGTGTAATTCCAAGTTGATTTGCTCGGCATCGCGGTCGCACGCGCGCAATTTTATTGCGGCCTGTGGATAATTTAGTGCGTCGTAACGCGCGAACGACAATAAAAACCGCCGCTAGGTGGTTGGCGGCCTGCTGCAGAGAGAATGAAATCATTCCGGGTGTTACTTTGTCGCTGATTTCGGGCGTAAACGGGGCTTAGTTTTGAGCCTTCTGCCCAGAAACGCGCGTCGTATTCAGCGCGATAGGCGGTCGCGATGTTACGAACCGGGGCCGTTCGTTACTCGTAAAACCGGTGCTTCCACGGGAATAACGCCTCATTTATCGTGTCCCGCGAATAGCTCTCGCCTCGTTAAGCGAAATCGAGCCAGCTGGAACGGAGAATACAGGATTGCGATCCCGGAAATCGCGACAGGGGGACGGTTCGTTTTCTTTGCTGGCAACGTTGTCCCAAAATCAGTAAACGATCATTTTCGATTTTGCAAGTATTTTTATGCGAAACGGTTAATACGTTTCCACTCCGAAAATATTGCATCCCCTAACGTTCATGAAACCTAAATTCGAGGTCCTTAACGGGTAACAGTGGTACTGCGAACTGGAACGAAGACTAAATTCTGTCCGATTCCCCGTTTCCAAAATCTAACATCGCATCTTACAAAAATATCGTCCGATCATCGGTTTAGCGTCTCATTAGAGACATTTTCTTGCACCATTCGGGAAAGACGGAAGCCCATTCAAGCGATAAAATTATCCGCCGCACATCTTACAACCGTACGTTGCGTGATACTACGGAACGTAAGCGTATTTACTACGGGTTCTTGTTGTTTTTCACTTTTTATCGCCGGACACGCTCTCGTAATCCGGCTGACGAAACTGATTGTACCGATCTTGATGGTTCTCGACTCGAGAATCAGTGACGAAATCCTTCGGTGAAATCACTCGAGGCTACGCGACAAAACGTTCCCGTTATAGACACATACCGATGCTGTACAAGTACCTGTCTATTTTCATCGAGATATCAATTAGATTACAAGATCGTTGGTTAACGAAAAAAAAAAAAAAAAAAAAACGACGGCTTCCTTTATTGGTCGTAGAAAGTGGGGCCGGAGAAAAGAGATCTTCCCGGTGCAAAACGGCCGCGATTCGAGATCACGCGAACGAAATCAACCGCCTGGAGGGGGGAGACAGGGATGATCGTTAAAGGAAACTGGGCGACCGCTGTCGTGGAACAGAACGTAGAACGGGGAGGGGGGAACGGAGTGGATCGGCATTGAAAAACGGTGTCGTGACAAAGTATCTTTCTGGCCGGTAATTAACCTCTCGAACGCGGATTGACGTGACGAGGAGCACACACCGGCGGTGGTGGTTGCCAATAAGACGAAAAAGAAACACGAACAAAAACCGGCTCGGCTGTCAGACAGAGGGACGCGGAAAAAAATTGAAGAGGGACCACGGTTATTCGAGATCGCGGAAGAGTTGCAAGAAAAGAAAAATGAGAGAGAAGTCGGTACCCAGAGCTCGGTTCTTTCGAGACGAAGAAGGAAGATAATACTCGAGAGACCCGTCAACGATCGCTCCCTTTGGACCGCTCAAAATTCTCGGACATCTGCCCTTCGTTCATTTCGGTGTTCTGTCCTTAAATTAACAGAAGTAAAAGGAACGTAAGGATCTCTGTTATGCAAGACTGCCGAACGACTTGTAAAAAAGAAACCCAGTGCTCTGACACTTTGAAAGCAGAGAGGAAAAATAATAACGATAAAATTTCGTCGGAAGATGATAACCATGAGAATTCCTCTGGAGAGCTCTAAATTGCCCACGGATCCGCCTTGTTTCCCATTCACCCCGAGACGTTCTCCCTCTAAAGGCCGCGAATTAATTAGTAAATCGAGACGAATAGCTGCTGGAACAGGAGGAACGGTACCGAGGCTCGAGAGGAAATCGCGATCCTCGAGATTCGGCGCGAGGTAGGGGCGTCTTAAATTATAATCCTCGTCGCTCGTTTATTCCCGCGGTGGCCCGTGGCGCCCGTTGCAGCCGCGCGAAAAATTTGTTAAACGTTGATTTCTGGTCCGTCGGGAGCGGAGTTCGTCAACGGCCTTTCATACCGCTTAATCAAACGGCCGCGGCGTACTCGCGCGCGTGAAACAAGACGCGAGGCTGTCGCCAGATGAGTGAGATCCTGGACGGAAAAAATCTGCCCGTCGACTTGTTCGGCCATTAAACGGTCAGATACGAGGCGTTCGTTCGACCGTCCTGTAAAATGCAAATTTTTCTCGGTCGCACGCGAACGGAGAAATATGGTCGCGGAAACGATGCGCGAAACGAAACGGTCGAACGGTTTCGAGGGTTACGTCTCTCGATGGAACGTTGCTGGTCAATTTGTACGGGACTATTCTGAATCATGAAAAAAAAGAGTTGACAAAATATTTGCTATAATCGCGTTAAAGTTCTTTAGAAACCCTGCTATACCCGATAAAAATATTTTCGATGGGACTGCTAATAACAGAGTAATCTCTACTGACCACAATTCGTGGTTCATCTTATTTATTTGGTGGCCCTGTATAATGTACAATTACTTAAAAAAAAACACACAAAATAAACAGCACGATATTGCAAAATACTCAGAGCGCAGCCTACAATCGATGGCGACTAATCGAGCCACCCGACTAACCCGTATTTATAACCCAGAAACACCGACGGTTGAATTCCATCGAGTACTTAATAAACGCCCATGACAAAGCCAGCATACCGTTAGCTTGTTTCTTCTCCCGCCCTCCATACAGATCGCGTTTCGTTGCTTGGAAACCCCTTCGTGTATCGTAAGTCCCCGTGTACACGGAAAATCGCGGCCACGAAAATCTACGATCGATCGACGCCAATAAAATCCTCGATTTAGAAATGATCGTGGAACGACGAGATTCCAGCCAGGGCGGCGGCACTGTGCTCGCCTAACGCGATCGCGAGCACACACACGCCTGCGTCTTACTTTCTATTATCCGCGTTCCTGCCACGGCTGAATGGAGACCGTACAATTAACTACACTTGACGTTCGTACACAACGATCCATGAAACGTCCAACGCTCCCGGCCCAGCTCACTTTGTTGCCCGGCGACTACAATTTGTTATTTGTTTATACGCCCGCCGCCCCAGTGCACAACGGGGCCCGTTCGCGTGTGGGAGGGCGTTAAAGCGAGCCTGCACAGCTTCCACAAGTCGGCAGGTAAGGTACTCGTACGAGGGGACACGCGCTTCACTCGCCGCGGATTGCGTAACGCTTTGCGGATCGAACAATTTCGAGCGTTGACGAGATTAATCACCGCGCGATTTAGCCTCAATTCGAGTTGTGGAAGTGGCGTTGACAATGTGAAACAAAAGTAAAGTGGAGACTCGATGAAAGTTGGACAAGAAGTTCCTCGTGAGAGTTTCTACTTCATCCCTACCACTGAGGAAGAAAGGCTTTTGTTGCCGAAGGCTTCGAGCAAAAAATGGATTTGTGAAAGTATTGATGCGGACCCGAGTTTCAAACTCTGATAGGGTTTTTACTGTATTTCGGTGAACAGGAATGGGATCTCATGACCTTATACTTGGATAATTTTGACTTGTATTCATAGTATATTCTGAAGATTCGTAGCTTTAATTGTTTCTATCCTCAAAATTATCGAGTGTCCACGCCTAATATTTCACATATATCACCATCTATACTACCATCTTAGTAGAAAACCCCGTTAAAATCGAAGTCGGACAGTCGGTGTCTGTTGACTGTTGTAAGTAGTATATGTGTAACGCGTCAGACGTATTTCACGCGTATTTTCAACAATAATTAATAACTTGTTTGAACACAATTTCATCACAGTTTCACAAGTGTAGAATCCACAACTGTGAAAACGTCGCAGATTTTTCTTAACACCCTGTATATACGTGTCCAACGAGCTGAGGATACATCATGAGGAGGCCCTCGGTGGTGGTATCCCTCCCGTTGTGTATATACATATAAATATATAAATATATGTATATACACACACGAGGAGACCATCCTGCTCCACGTTTTTCTTCATACGAACATATTTATTAGCGGGGAACTGGTGCTTCCGCGGGATGTCCTCGCGCGCGGATACGCTTTTTGATTTATCTCGGACGACCAGGGCTCTTCGGAATGTCATTAACTCGCCCTCAGCCGTGATTACAGACCAGCCAGAGAACGAGGGGGAGACCCCTGTAACCAGTGGAATTTATAAACTGACGTTTGTCAAGCCTCCGCGCAACCTAGCCGTTTATAATTAGAAAAACGGGGCCCGCCCCCATTTGATACGAAGTGTAAACCAGCTTGGAAAATTCAACGGACCGATCGCAAGACGTGTGTATGTACATACAAGTGGAGGAACGGGGCTGAAAGACGGACTGGGACGATGTCCTGGCATCGTTAAACAATGTGTCAGGAAAGGTTGTTATTAGGCTCTAGTGTTCTTGTTTTTTTTTTTTTTTTTTTTTTTTTTTTTTTTTTTTTTGGAGGATAAGAGAATCGTGAAGCGAGAGATGCTGGGATGCAGCAGAACAGAAAAAG